TTAGGTATGCCTCGTGAAAACAGCAATACTCTGAGGGATTGTGAGGCTGAGACATTGCCTATTTATAATCTTCTCAGTACTGTTTCCGCCGAAGGGATTTTATTTAGTGTTTCGTTGTCGCTCTATTAGAAACTATGGTATGTTTCTTTGAAGCGAATCTGAGAGACTCATAAAATCCTATCTTTAAAAAAGAAAAAAAAAGGAAAAGTACTCTTGATGTCCTTAGTTATTGTCTTAAACCAATAACTTGCCACCTATCAAGAAATACCAACTTAGCCTTCATCAGACTGGCACATCTGGTTGGCAAGTTAATTGAGCCATCTCACTACCGAAGTATTCAGATACAACTAGATTTGGAAAGTAAATATAGTTATCTTAATAGAACTAGACCAAATCATATGTTTGGTATTTTACTGGGGCCTTTTAATGGCCTTGTCCAAATATCTGATATGTAAGATGAAAAGGTATTAATTAATAAAACCGTTCAAACCCATTTAGGAAACTTAAGTTCCTTGTACTATTAAAAGCACGTTTGTAGTTTACGTGCTGCTTAAGAGTACGTTTATAACATAGAGTCTAATGTGGAGGCCCAGCTATTACAATAGTCGCAAGTATAAGACGTATAAGTAATACGCAACACTTACTTGTGGTAGGTCCAGACTTTTCCGTCCATATCCTGGTTTCCTCTCTCTGTCTCCTTCTGTAAAACCATGTAGTGCCAATTCGGGATGCAGTTTACGTGAATAAAAGTAATACCTGCTGCTAGTATAGCGACGAACCCGTCCTGTATATTCTATCTATCGACCACCGCACATCCCCAGCATATTTAATTGTCGTGCTCCATCGGAGCAACCGAGATTGTGTTTCCTCAACAGTAGGATTGAGATAGTATTGCCAAGGGACTACATCAACACCATACAGGACTAATAAAGCAAAATTTGCAAAACTATCCGCCCATACTCTGTCTGTGCGCATAGCCTCCCTCCATCGCTTCAAACGCAGCTTCCAATTTTGAGTCTCACGAAACTCATAGTGTTGTGCATAATCCACGAACAACTATGCGTCGCAACTTGCAATATTGGCACGTAGAATTCGGTGGTCTGTCATGCCTAACTCTCCTCAGAATTATGGGCTATAGCAGATTGAACGAAAGAAGCAGAGTCGCAGGCATAGTAGTCGCAGTCGAGAGTCGCAGGCATAGTGGTCGCAGTCGAAAGTCGCAGGCATAGTGGTCGCAGTCGAGAGTCGCAGGCATAGTGGTCGCAGTCCTAGTGGTCGCAGTCTTAACAAATCTCTAAAACATGACTACTTCGTTATTTGGCGCAATTTATAAAGGACAAACTGTAGCTAGAGAGAAGCTGTACCCTAAAGAAAAGCAGTGGGGCTTTCAGAGTCTCTCCTACTATTTAGCTAGAGTAGAGAGAGCGAGAAGCTCTCTGCCCCACAGTGAGAGTCTGAGAGATATATAGAGAAAGACTGGACTCTGGATTCTGGAATCATGGAGTCTGGACTCTGGACTCTGGAGTCTGGACTGTTGGAGAGACTCTCAACTCTCAAATCTCAACTCTCTCACTCTGTCTGAGTCTGTCACTGTAATTGAAATTTTTAATAATAAAAGTTGAATATATCTTAAGAGTAAGTAGGCGCATAGCTCATCAGTGACATCATGCAGACACAATGAAACATATACTCATATAGACATATACACCAATGACCAAGTCACCAACTGTGACTGACTGTGTCAGTCTGTGAGCTTTGCCTTTTTGTATTGCTTATGTCTTGTGTGAGCAGCTGAGCATCCTAATTCCCATCACCCATGATGGCGAGTAGCGATTGGGCCGCCATTTCGATATAAAATTTAGACTCTGGAGTAGAGGGGGTATTTTATCAAGTTTTCAAGTTTTTCAACAAAACCTTTATTTTAACTTTACGTAAAAATAAATCAATTTATTCGAACAACATTTATTATTAGTCATTTACCCGCCACTTTCGTCGCGTCATCAACTCGTCATATACTCATAGACTCAAGCCTTAATCGGTTAAACGTTATAACTTTTATCTATCAAAAAGTAACCGATAAAAATACAACGTTTATAACTGATAGGTATAGTCTGATATAGGACAAGTACTTTTTCCAGGTCAAGGTGGTGTCAGAATTTAGTCCTGTTGTTTTTGTCGCGCCCATTTACCAATACCCTGCCACTATGCCCATAATTTTCAACGATAATACATTTTATTGAGTGCACAGTTGAAAATTTTGACAATTGATTTGTCTCAAATTAAAGTTTATTACTTATATTTTTTATAAAACAAATATCAAAAGTTAACGCTCATAGTACGTGAAATTACTTTTTCATGTTTACTTACAGACTAAATACCAAAACATGAAACGGATTTTATTCTTATTTTAAATAAAATATTTAGAGGGCTATACACATAGCCCTCTAAAATTGAACATTATACAACCTTTTTTTCCAAAACAAATAAAAATCTAGATTTGGTTTTATAGTTTTTAAAACAAAAGTTTTTAGCCAAACGGGAACAGGAGTGGAAGTTGTGGAACTGTGAACACAATAAACTTTCAAAAAATATCTACATTCTATCAGAATTCTACAATATTGGCAGCTTCTTGGTTCTCGAAAAACTTTTTGTTTTTGAACCGTTAGACTTTTGTTTTTATAAAAACAATAATTACATAGGACTTTGAAAGTTTGAAGTTTGAAAGCCTACAGGACACGCCCGAAACAGAGTAATAGGTACTCTCAGAGTAGGTACGTATATAATTGACGACAGTCAGTAGTACTCATTACTCAGTACCGGTCCGTCACCGGACTGACAGTTCTGAGACTCTGGAGTCTCGAGTTCTCAACAGTCGAGAGTGAATCGACTGACGAGTGATGAACTGACGAGTGACGACTCCCGACTTCGAGATTCAGCGGTCAGCCTCTCGGGCCTCGGCGGATCTTTCAGTAATTCTCAGTGACCATACTCTATTTTCTTTTCTTTTTTTCTTCTTCCTTTTTTTACAAAAGGGCATATGTATCCTAGCCAGTAGAGTAGCCAGCAGCGCCTCAGGGGCTGGCCCGCGGCGCCGTCTCATGATTTTATTTTTGAGTCATGATTCATGATTCATGAATTCATCATTGTGGCCTCACTGGCCTGTGGGCTGTGGGCTGTGTGATGGACAGCTGGACTGATCAGCGATAAGTGACAACACCTGACGGCGTCGGTGACTCTTGGAGTCTTGTGGTGAGTCGGTATCTCGCGGAGTCGCGATGACCACTAAGTCACTGACTGAGAGTCTGAATCTCAGAGTCTCAGATCTAAGCTCAATGCGTTAAAAGTTGCGACTTTGTTATGCCTTTATATCGCGATAGTACACTTTCATATAGGATAGGTGCATTTTACAGGTCACTCAGGTGACATGAAACGCTCAATCTCCTTTGATTGCCTATTAAAATTTCGTAGCCTAAAATTTTCAACGATAGGACAGCTTATTGAGTGCAGTTTCAAAAAAAACTTTAGTTAATTTGTCCTAAATAAAAGTTGACTTTTAAAAATCAAAAAGTTAACATAAAGTTGGGACTTATATTCCGTACCCCTATAACTTATTGAGCTTAGTCTCAGACTCAGAGTCTTCGACTTCTTGAGACTGTTGGACTGTCAACTATAATAGCTTAGAATAAGTGCTTTAAAGTGGTGCCTGCTCAAGGCATTTATACTAATAATTATTTCTGTCATAGGTTGTACTTGCGGTAGACCAATTCCTTCAAGTAAGTGCCGTGTCCATACTGCGTCTCGTGTTGTATCTGAGCATGCGACATATTCTGCTTCGGCTGTCGAAAGTGTTGTTGTCTTCTGTAAGGTTGTCCCCCATAAAAACGGTCCACCTGCTATCATACCAATCTTTCCTGTAGTAGATTTTGTGTTTCTGAGTTTGAACAGTAGTCACTGTCAGCTGAAAAAATAGGCGTGAAGGGTATATCATTACTGTATGTGATGTCCAAATCTTTTATTCCTAACAAGTATCGTAAAACTCGCTTGGCGGCTCGTAAGTGGCGTTCCATCGGTGCGACTAAATGACGTCCCAGTAGGTTCGCTACAAGTGATATGTCCGGTCTCGTACCATCCGCCAAGTACCGTAAGGTGTATCTTTGTCCGTAGCAATATAATTGGTTCCAATGCAAGGGACCCATTGTAGATCCATTGTGTATTGGCCCTGATGGATGCTGACTTCGCCCGGTGTGTCCAGATTGATTTCTAGCTTAAGAAACCAGTTAGGCTCGCCCATATATGTAGTCTTCCATTGGGTCTTCATTGTCTGAGTTATTGCATCCGCATCTGCTATCAATCGACACATCACAATTTTGTCGTCCACATGTACAAACAGTATACATAGTTGTCCGACTGAAGATCGTTTGACGAATAAAGCTTTGTTCTCATATAGTGGAATGTAACCTTTCTTGATACATAGCGCCTTAATTTGTTGATACCAGAGCTCGCCGGATTGAGGTAAACCATATAGAGGTTTTGATACTTTGCACACGACTTGTCTTGTCTCCTTTTATTGATCGTGCTAGTAATGCCTGTTGAGTAGGAGAAAGATGTTAATTTAGTAGATGATATCCTCTGGGTACACGCATATATACTGGCTCCTCGAGGTCCCTATTTAGGTAAACATTCGGCGTGTCGTACTGGTGGACGGTCATATTTGTGTGGGCTAGCAGAGCTAGCAAAAATGTATCTTTGTTGACCACTGGGGGATATCTTCGAGTATAATCAATTCCTTCAACGGCGGACCATGCAGCGACTGTCAATTGGCTCTTCAGTCGGACTACGATGCCTTTGTCGTTCCATTTCTCAACAAACACCCATTTCGGACTAGATATTGTCTTGTCAGGTGGTTTGCTGTCAGTCAGGATGAGTGTTGGCTTGGTGATGACGAGTGCGGTCAACTCTTGATTGAATAAGAGTTGGTCTAGTTCTATTAATAGAAATATCTTTACTTTCCAACTTTATTTATATCTGAATAATTCGGTAGCGAGATGGCTCAACCGAATATAGATTTCTAGGGACTATTAACGAGGAGTGCCACGACTTCCACGGTATCTGGACCCTCCACGAACACCTTGGATCTTTTCTCCAGCATGTTGAAGAACCACCGTACCCTCACCCGTCCCTGACATATCAACAAATGTTCCCCATACCCCGGCTAATCACGCGGTTGAAGTACTACTTCCAAATTTTGGTTCCAACCAAATCAACACGCTTGTTGGTTCCGCCTATGATACTTCCGATCCAGACCAGCCAACACATACCAAATTCATCCGTGGTCTGGTGCGGCATTGGCTTACCCCCTTCCTCGCTCCTCGACCGGATTATGACAGATAACCTGGTCCTTCTCAGTATTTTGTCTCTGCACTAACCCATTCCGCCGCACTACACGGCGTAGACCCGATCCGTACTACAGAGGTGGGTACTCTACTTAGTAGGTCAGCAAGCGAATATATGGAACATTCGATAGTAACAGTGTTTTGTCAACACCGGCCCGAATTGACTCAGCGCATATCTTCCATTGTCGACTCACTTGGCCCAAGCTTCAAACAGGAATTTACTGACCATTTCTTCCCATCAATCTTTCCTGAACCACTACAGCGACTATGAGAGCCATACCATATGTTCATACATTGTAACATACATACTTGTCATTTTTGAAAATAATAATATGATCCCTATTAACGTTACCTAGTTGATCCTCCGATCAGCCAATAATATTATTTATGCGACTATTGCATGCGTCTTGAGAATAATGAGTTGATAGACAATCCTATTGAATTTGTGCGCATCTAGTGTGCGCCAGCACCACGCTGCAAGATCAAGATTTGCACCAAGTTCAAGGGTCTGTACGGGAGCCCATCGCAGTCACGCGGGCTTCTGTAGTGCCATGCCGTGGAGCTCAAGTTTACCAGCACGGGTGGGGGCGGGTATGGCAAGAAGGGGTCGCTGCTGCTGGCGACGTTGCGCCACTGCAAGGTCAAGGAGCAGGAACCAGCAAACTGCGGCAAGCCGAGTACAGTGCGGCGCGCATAACATCGTCCATGGTCACGTGGACGCTTGTTCGCTCCAGCTCGCTCCTCACCAGAGTCCGCCCACGGTCGACGTTGTGCGACCCCGTGTCGACTGACTCGCGGTATGTCGCGGCACTGGGCGTCGTGCGTACCGTGCAAGCTGCGGTACTTCGGTATGTTGTATATGTACGTGCCGTCGCGTCGTATATTGCCGAGCGCGTTCAGCAGCATGGACCGCATCAGCTCCACGGGCCAGTCCGTCATGTACACGACCAATGTCTTGGTTCCGAGCGTGGCGCTGTCGGTCTGTATAAAGTACAGCTTGTTGACGCGTAGAATGATATATAAAAGAATATACAGCATACCATACCTGTACGTTACAAGCTCTACTTCCTTCCTTGCATACCCAACCGAAAAATCTGAGAAGGGTGGAAACATAATAAAAAAAATCATTTATGAGTATAAAGCCATGATTATGAATTGGCATTATTTTGTTGATACATTCTTCCGACCGACAATGAATATTACAAACCTAGTTACAGAAAGCCCATGTGCCACACCATGACGGTTCATTAGTGGCACATCGTTCTTTCTCATTCAATAATGACAAATAATTTCAACGGCATATCGCATTTATATATTTCTCCCTTTCTTTAATTTGAAAGGGTGTCGGTTGCACGGTAGGTATTTATAATAATACTATTACTACTCTGTCACTCCGTTACTCTGTAACTCTCTCCGTAGGTATGACAATAAAAACATTTGTGAGAGAGGCATACTTACTGGTCGCAGGCGAGAGTCGCAGGCATAGTAGTTGCAGTCGAGAGTCGCAGGCATAGTAGTCGCAGTCGAGAGTCGCAGGCATAGTGGTCGCAAGACCCGGTCGCAGGCATATGGATAATATTATCTATTTCAAAAATGGCAAGTATGTATGATACAATGTATGAACATATGGTATGGCTCTCATAGTCGCTGTAGTGGTTCAGGAAAGATTGATGGGAAGAAGTGGTCAGTAAATTCCCGTTTGAAGCTTGGGCCAAGTGAGTCGACAATGGAAGATATGTGCTGAGTCAATTCGGGCCGGTGTGATCGCAGTCGAGAGTCGCAGGCATAGTGGCCGCAGTCGAGAGTCGCAGTCATAGTGGTCGCAGTCTTAACAAATTTCATGTTTTAAGCCTATGTAATACAGAATACCCTGAGTCCCGGACCGTATTGACGTGCTCTCTGGGGTGGGGGGATAAAATCGAAATATTTGTGAACAAACATGATAAATATCCCAGCCTTGCCACTTGAGCTTCACACTGTCACTCAGTTATATGTAATGTTCATTTTTTGAAAATTAGTGTTTAGTGTTTACGGACTCCACTACAGTCTACATCACTCTACAGTACATAGTAAATACATATATTTCGTTTTGTTTAAAAAACAACAACAACAACAAATAGACAGTCAAATGGAAAAAAACAAAACAAAACGTTTACAGTCATACCTCTTTATATGTCCAGTTCCCGGGATTGGTAAATATTTGGACATATAAAGAGGTAAGACAAGTCTGGGTCAGTTTCATACCATCAGGTTCGGGGTCCAACCTATGGGAGTATGGGTCATACCAGGGGGTATTCTAGGCGCTCTGATTAAATACTCCTTCCCTTTCGTGACGATCAAGCCCTGACATACACTAAAACCAGCTTCTCTAACCTTACCGACCAACTCAATCAAACGCTTCTCAAACTCGTGATGTATTCCTCACCTTTCTCGATAATTTTTTTTTTTGCATATACCTCATAAGACTGACCGAGTATCGTCTCTCCAGACTCAATAAACCTTCTTCTTGTTTTGATACTGACGCCGAATTTTTCATGCGCTACCCGCGCGGCCTCCTTCACTAAATCCTTACGATAGTTGTCTTTCCATGATAGGTCTAAGCTGTATCCCGCTTTCTAGATTGTACGCACGATAACACCTTTATCTTTGTTTGTTAGATTGATTCTTTTTGTTGTATAGGAGTTCACCTTGTTTGATAAAACAGTCTGTTTATATGTTCCCTTCCTCTTACCAACAGTAAGCTCATCTATTATCATACTAGATACTCCTTTCATACCAGACGATATATCTGGCTTGAGCGTAGACTGTGGTGTCGATCCGCCTGGTTCACTCGTTGTAGGTGCATTTTGTGTCAATTCGTCTGGCTCTGTCTGTCTGTTATTAGCGAAACCAGACTCCCACATGTCATTTGGTGGCTGGCATTTATCTGTAGACAGGCAGTAACCGATTGAATTTGAGCCATGCCCCTCACCAAGGTGATCGCCACAAAAGGAATGCATACCTCGATCGCAACCAGCACACTTGTGTGCACCACCCACTGGGTGCGTTGTAGCGCATCCTTTCGCACAACAGCGTTCACCACTAGAAGTGTCTCCCATCAGGATCTATTGTAATACGTACTCTAGTGTATGTATTACAGATAAAGCTACCGTCAAGCTGAGGTGAAAGGTGAAATATTCACACTTGAAAAACCCTAAAACCTCCAAGAGCAGGCTGCAGGACCGGCCTAAAAAGACCTGACTCTTATATAGGGGGTTGGCCAAAATAAAAATTGGACATATAAAGAGGTAGACATCTTAAAGAGGTGGACATATAAAGAGGTATGCCGTATGACTGTATTGTCTTTGTTTCTAAAATACTATATGTATGGTCTTGTTTTCATATTTACAAAATAAAATTGTTCTTTATTTCAAAACAATTTATATCCAGACCCAGTACAGTTACTACAGTATCGATTTTATAGTAATTGATTTATTATTATTAAAAATATTGAAATTTGAAACAAATATATTTCTCGAGATCACGCATCGAATTCGACACGCATTGACAATTTGGCACGCAACTCAAAAAGACAAAAGTTATCTGCTGTTCCTACGTCCCACGTAGGCCGCAATACAAGTAGTGTATGAGTGTACCGAAAGGGATGTTGTGAAATCGGTACTCTTCAGAGCTTGAAGCGACAAGCTTGGCGGCTTTTTAGAGCAGAGAGCAGATCCTGATCCAGATGGGCCGAGTTTTGTATCGCTCGTAAAGTCGTAAACGACAAAACGCGTGGTATGTAGCAAACCGGTCCTATGACCCCCATCTCTTTCTCTTAGTAGTATTTAGCTAGTAGTAGTAGTCTAGTAGTATGTAGACTCAGTAGTCATATCTCTCCACATAAATACTACATACATACATAGAGAGAGAGAGAGAGAGAGAGAATGAGCCTTGTTCTGGCAGAGGGCCCGAGGGCCGAGGGGCCCAGAGCCCAGAGCCCAGAGCCCAGAGCCCAGAGCCCAGAGCCCAGAGTCCAGAGTCCAGATTCCAGACTCAGAGTGACAGATGACAGACCAGTGAGACTATTTGTCCCAGACGTGGTGACCAATACCCCAATTTCAGTCAAATGGTTTACTTTTACGTAATATCAGCGGTTTGGCGGAGACTGGAGAGGGTCCGAAAACCAGGGGGGAAAAACTTTTGACTTACATTTTTGTCCTGACCCCTAATTTTGTACCCATGGAATTTTTGCAGCCAATATTTCAATTTGAAGCCGACGAAAAGCCAATATGAAGCCAATATGAAGCCAATACGAAGCCAATATGAAGCCAATATGAAGTCAATATGAAGCTAATGCGAAGCCAATTCCTAAAATATGCTCCAAATTCGCCCAAAATGAAGCCAACAAAGGAATGCCCTTATAGTCATCAGTTTTGAATACCGTACTGTGTCAATAAAACCAAAGTAGCACATCCGAACCGACTTGTAAATAGGCGGCCCGGAAGTCGGAACTTCGTACGACGTACAGTCTAAGTTACAGTCATGAAGGCACAGTTTTGGCGGGTTATCTACGTGCGCTTTAGCCTGGGGCCCGGGGGCCCGGGAGTTTGACTGCCTTGACAGCCTTGACAGCCTTGACAGCCTTGACAGCCTTGACAGCCTTGACAGCCTTGACAGCCTTGACAGCCTTGACAGCCTTGACTGCCTTGACAGCCTGCTTGAGCCTTGGCCCTTGAGCCTTTTAATACAAACAGTTGACAACCTGCCAACTGTCAGTACAAGTAGCGGACGTGGAGGTTAGCTGATGCCTGATGATAATTGTTAGGACAAAACTCATGACCTGAGTATATATTTATTCAGTCTTGGCTTCCATAGGCGTTTTGAAACTATATATATAGGAGAAATTATCATATCGATTACTTTTTTAAGTTGCATTATGATCCTCTAGAGAAGAAGCTAAAATATAGAGGATCGAACTAACGTCCGAAGGACGTTGTACTACAATGTTGCAATGATAACGGTATGGCTCCTGTGAGGGTACAGTAACTTTTATGTATTTATTTCCCGAGCCGGACGTTGAGTCACCTGGGCTGAATTTATTATTGTTGCTGTTTTTATGTTTTTCAGGAGGCGAGCGCTAGTGACCTATTTTGATTAATTTGACAGAGGCAAAGGGAAGAAAAAGTGGGCCTTTTGAAGTGCGTAGCGCTTGACACTTTCCTGATTCCTGACACATGTCAAATGTTTGTGACATCGTCGCTTCACATTTTACATAGCCCTCTAAATTAATTTATCTACACTTTATTATATAAAAATCGGACAATACACATTCTATTATATAACAATCGGACAATACACATTTTATTATATAAAAATCGGACACTCGTTGTTTGCAGAAAATGTCTCGCATGTCCTATTTTTCGCTGAGCCTTGTGAGACTGTGAGCGTGGTGGGCTAGGACGGCCCGAGACGAACGGTGTCACATGGCTAGTAGAGAGAGAAATGGATTCGGTCATGAGAGAAAATCATTTCTGAGAGACAATTCCAGAGAGGGTCATGGAAATAGCCCTCTAATAAAGACAATTTGCTTTTAGAAAACAAAGAATTTTTTATAGACATAGCCCTCTAAATTTTTTTGAAAAACAATATGCAATTTAGACTTTTAGAGGGCTATGTAAATATATTAGATTTAGCGGATTTTTTTTTAGGCTAAGAATATGTTTTGAGAAGGCTATGAAACATGAAACAAGACTATTTGTATTTTTAGAAAAAGTATTTGATTTGTTTCTAAAAATATACTACAGTGGAAGGGACTCCACCGACTGGTGACTGGTAATTGCCTTGTTGAGTGTGATTGTGTGGACAGTCCAGACTCCAAACTCCAAAGTCCAAACTCAAAATACATACTTTTATATTCTTACAAAAACCAAAAGAAATGCTTGCAGTCGACCGGTCGACCCCCTTGGTTCCTGAGAGATGGGCACCAAGTAGACTGACGGTCGCCAGGGGCCCAGGGCTGAGTGCTGAGAGTCCGCTCGAGGGCTGAGGCTGTGGGACATAATAGATACATATTATTAGTTTTTGTTTTGTATGTAAAAACAATACAAAAACTTTGCCGTTGCCGGTTCGAGACTTCGTCATTTCCAGTTGATCTGATTAATATTTTCATTGGTTGAATAATGAGCAACTGGTTGGGACTATGTGAGCATGTGACTATGGAGTTAGTAGTCATAGCAACCTTAGTATATTTTGGTATTTCGCCACAGTATTGTTTTAAAAAATAAAATTTTATTCACTCTTTAAAAAAATATGTTTGATTTATTTTTAGAAGGCCATGCTCCATTTGCTTTTCTTTAAAAAATATTATTTATCTACTATAGAGCCTTCGGGCGGCTTCGGCTTCAAGCTCAAGGGTTAGGCCTAGCGCTGAAGTCCCAAGACTTCAAACCGCTTCCGCTTCTTTTTGTTTGTTTGATATATTTAATTTGTTTACAAATAAATTCACAGCGAGTCAGCAACTCAACACAGCCTTCAAAACAAAATTGCTCTTTTTTTCAGGAGACTCTATGGAGTATGGAGGAGTGACTGAGCGGCGAGCGCTAGTCAAATTTAAAATTTGAAATATCCCATATTTTTTAATTTTATTTGAGAAAAAAGTTGTATTAATACATACTTTTATATTGTAAATACATTCTGGAATATACACGGCTTTTATATGTATATACAACTTTTGCAGTATTATCTGCATATCGTATGAATATAGCTTTGCAAATCACAACGTTGTAGCTGACATAAGAACTACTGAAAATAAAATAGATTTACAAAGCTATACACGAGGAGAACGCGAACGTTTAAGCAAAATACAGATAGGCCACACCGCATTGCTTCAAGTCAGCTTTCTTCTCGCCCAGGGAAAGAAGCCAGGCTCAGAAGATTCTCATTCAATATGTGCAAGACGAACAATCCAAAAATACTAGGCAGTCCGAAGATAGTAGGTCGCTACAGCTCATCATGTCGAAGATACCATCGCAAAATTCTTTTTGCACAATTGGTGATGATCTCAATTGTAATCATTTGCTACGATTATTTCAAGACCATACCTATGAATGAGTATTCGCCTCCGATGTTTGGAAGAGGAAGCAAACAATATTCAAGTAAGTTCATATTCTACTTATAAATTGTATCGGTTAGTTGAGGTAGCTGAAATATACCATGCTCATGCCCACTAAACTTAAAACATTTTAGATTTTAATGACTACAGATGA